AAGCTAATGTTGTTATATCCATGTACAAAGGTTCATGAAAATTGGTGAAAGCAGAAAAAGACACATCGAAATTCTTTAATTCTGTTGTAGACCGAAAGTTGCAAGGAACTGCAATTACTGAAATTTCTAATCGCTTGTAACTCGTAGCGACATTAACCGATTTTCAAATTTATTGGAAGCCCTAATAAAAAAGTTAAAAAGAAATGTGTCTGAATGTTAGTGTAGTAATAGTAAACGTAAAGCCATCAAAAGAAATGTTGTACGTAAGAATCCAAAGACGAGAATAAATTAGAGATTTTCTATTCTATCACACCAATAGAAATTCTTGACGCTCAATAGAAATTAGATGGATTTCTGAAACAATGTATACATATATTAAAGTAAGCCTTCTAACATCTGAGAAAATTACGTTGCTTAGTATAATATTAGGGGGACGTCAGGAGACAGAAAAATAAAAAATAGAAAAATGGAAGAAAAATAAAAATAATGTTTAAATAAATATAATGGCACATAAACATTTGTAACCCCCATTTGAAATAAACGAAAATATACTTTTTTACTATTACTATGTTAAAAATGTTATTTCATTTCGAAGTGCATCCGAATATTAATGGGAGTCATTGTAGACAGACTCGTGCAGTGGATCGATCCCTCTTTCACACGTACGGTCATACAATTTCAAGTACACATCGCGCACACAATATAAAAAAGTGAAGTCCGAACAAGGCGATACCACATTGTTAACGGCAATAATATTGTTCCGGTTGCGCAAACTAATCGAAGACAGTCTATTGTATTTAAATGGGCCGTGCATAATGACATGTCTGTGGGACCGATTCGAACGACAGTAGTACTTGTCAAATCAAAGTCACGCGCTCAAGTTTAAAGACCCGGACGACGTTCGTAGATACCTACGTTTCTCCGTGCACAGCTTTACGCCTTCCAAGCTGTTTAACCACTTGTCTCACGGTACTGAATCACGCTCGCGGTTCAAATTATGGTACGACGCTACGACAATCACGATTTACGATCACAATAAAGTCTAACTTTAGCTTTGGTTTAGAGAACTGAAAATTGCTAAACGCCCACGAATGCGTTCGGACGTTTCCCATGCAAAAATTATATTCTATAATAGTTTCCAAATTTATCAGACTGGACTATTATTATTATGTACTTGAAGCGTGGAGCGAAATTAAAATTGTAGAAATCACACGAATATGTAAAGCCCGACCTTCGAACAACGTCGATTTGAAGTCTGATATTATGCACGCTTTTTTATTTTTACAATTTGTAAGCCAACCAAGTGTTTATTGGCGAACTGACATAAACTCGTGAAACATCTTGTTTTACGAATTTCAGATTCATTTTTAACGCACGGAAAATTACAAGACGAAAATTCAGAGAAAATTCTTCTAATCAGAATATTTTAATGACTTCATTCAAGCAGTATATGCGTTCATATATTCTTGTTACATATTTTTTATATATGAACATTTTCGAACTATGTTTGTATCTATTTATGTCTACAAGAAATCATCTCTTGTAGCTAAGAGCGTTTTCGCTCTCAACTAATTCACATGCTTCATTCATGCGTTCGAGGAAATATTCTAAATCAACTTGTTTTTCTTTCATAATCTAAGTCCTTGACAATTCTGTTCGTAAACTATTAATCATTAGATAACTGATGCATTACGTTTTTACTTGATCATTAATCACTATGAGAGAAATTCTTCGACAGAAATTGTATTTATGTCAATTGTATACAAATTGTACTTCTGCCAAGTATAAAAAAAAATCATATTAATCATTGAACATCGAAGACAGTGCATGCAATCAGTAGATAGTAGATTTTTATGCAAAATAGACTTATAGTAGTCAGTTAAAAAAGTGCATGTCAGATTGTAATTTCCTTTATCAATTAAGCATTGCAATATGCAATCGCTTTTTAAATTTTGTGCAATTTTTTAAATATTAAAAATAATATTTACATTACCAGCACATTTAATTATTCTATAAATATATAAAATCCGTAGTAATCGACGACCATCGAATAATTCAAATTTAAATAAAAATGAAAAGAAATTGAGACAAATTAATGAAAATATGTTCGCTTTGAGGTAATTTGAACAGAACAGGATTAATAGAAGAGAATTGCAGGAAGACTCACCGGTGCGATGGAGATGATCGAGAATCCAGTCGGCCGATCGAGGGGCCGGCGTCCCGCCGTGCCGAGATGCTCACCGTCTAAAGCGAACCAAGTTTCAAACACCTTCCGGTTCGCACAATAGCGTAGATTCACAATAAGTCAGTCTCATAATCGCGATACGAATTTTTTACGCGCACTTAATAAACTTGCTTCGTTTTTTCTTTCTTCGAATCAAAACGACACGGCGGCGCGCCGAACGCGACGCTCCAACGACGCCAAACTATCGTGGCAACGGGCGCTTCGCTACTGTGTGGTGTGCGCCTTCAGGTTCATTGTGTGCTGCTTCTTGCCCGCTCCGTTCTGTACGGCACGGGCGACCGCAGGAGAAGGGAGGGACGCCAGATGGTCGCCGCGAAGGTTACCGACCAGCGACGAGGTTGATTCATCCGCGCCTCGGGAGATGGTGCATTTCACACAGAAAATCAACACTTAAATCATTATTTTATTCAAACAACGAAAATCTCCTTCGATTTTAAGTACAAATAATTAGTTCCTATTTAGCTTATTTTTATTACAATCAGTCTCTTGATTAAAAAAGTACAATTAAAATTTTATTTTTGTTTAATAAATTAGAATTTTTATCCCCATTCTGTAAATGCTGTGGTATTTGTTAAACTCTCTGGAGTAATCGGCCACAGTGATGGCGGCAGCATACTGTAATTTTGTAATTCCAGAGGTCTATGCCACGTAGGATAAGTAAAATCTTCTGAACTACTCGTGCTTGGAGAATTCTCGAAATATTCTTTGATTATGTCATCAGGATTGGGCCAGCCATTCTCAGGCGCTAAGTTCAGCTTCGATTGATTTTTCATCGCAACTGTAAATGGAAATAATATATAAATATCCATTGTAATAATTCTTGTTAGCTATTTAATTATGATTAATAATTATTGTTACCAAGGCATTGGAGTTCCCATATCATAGGAGGAGTATAATGGGAGTATCTGCAGCCAAGACCAAATGCACATTCGCCGTTGTTCATATACCATTTACATGGTACTTTCGAACTTTCTTCTTTCAGTATAACTTCGGGATCTGGAAATATTAATAAATGATCGTAACGTTGAGGTTATGTCACGATCTCGAACACATCGAACGTATTTTTCTTAATTAACTTGCGTCGAGTAATCACCTTTGAATGTATTATAATGGTCTGCACGATTTTTCACGTGCTGCAAACTCGAAAGATGCTTTTTTCTAGCCTCTGGATCATCTTTGAACGATCTGTCGCAGTAATCACAGTAATACCTTTTTCCCATGATTGAACTTCCTGGTACTTAAGTACAAATTGTGTTCTATTTATAACTGAACGACACTTTCGTGTACGAGCACGCGATTATGCAAATTTATACAAAATTATTCAAGTAGAATATGTAACTTGTCAAAATCACGTGGACGACGTAAACATTGATTTTTCCGCGACCGAAGCGTCATCTACGAAGTGAGCCGAGTAATATTTAAATTTAAGTGCCGTACGTGCGGCCTAATCAATTTTTATTGTAGAACTTTTATTAAAAGATCATTTGCCCCATACGTGCAAGTGAAAATTTCGTTGGAAATTATTGAAGGAATCGATCGCACATAAAATAACGAAAAGAACTACTGATCCGGGGCGATTAATTGAATTGTTGGTCTACTTCTACGAATGGATCGTAGCTTGTTATTTGTACACTTAATGGATATTTATTTTAAACAAACAGGTTACATACACGATACTGATCGTTTAAACGTTACAATAAGTGTTTAGTTACATCCTTAGAGTACGGTTTACTGCAACATCTTGTGCGTCGCTAATCTATAATGTCTGTGTGGTAAACGTTACGTACCGAAGAAAATGCCTAGAACTTTAATTACAACAACCTCTTTGTTAGTCTCGCTAATCACGCGAAGGAAACGTGTCTCTCAACTACAGAAGCATCAAAGTATTTAGTAAATATCCTCAATTATTCTTCAGTAAATTACCAATCTCCTTAAACAACAATTTCTGCTCGAAGCGAAACCAAATCGATCAATTTGCTGCTCGTAGATATTCACTTCCAAGATGGCATCTTGGGAACAGAATTTCGCTGTTTCCAGTACACAACTTTGCTCGAATGCCCGATAGTCGATTTTTCGTTAATCATCGTGATTTTAAAAAAATATCGTATTCTTTGGTTGAAATATATTATTAAAAACGGATTTTATTGAAAAACGAACGGTAAAATTGTTTCCTCGTTAAAATATAAAGCCGATTCCCACCAGGCGGCAATGATAAAACGCATAAAATGCTCTCGTAATTATCGTTGACGGAGATCATAGATGTTCGTATATATATATATATATTTGATAATATTAATATTATTATACACATATAATATAAATACAATATATTAATAGTATTAATATATGTATATATGTATAGAATGTCAATGTGGATTATAATAATATTCATACAGGAGCCTTTTAGTAGCATACAAATATTATTATAACAGGAATATAATATTATAAATAGATTCAATGTCTTAGATTCCATCTCTGTGTTAGATTTCTAACGTGTCGTTGCCGAGACTCGACGAGTCTTAGTGCGAATCAGCTACCGTTTTCGATTCTCCTCCCAATAAAAATAATCGTATAGAAATAAATTAGTTTTCATGTGAATTTCGTAGACATTTTCAACGATAGTTGAAATCAGCTTTCTACAAGCTATCAGTAGTAGTAACCTATGTGATAGGTATACGTGAGAATGTTAAGAGGAATCAAGCACGAAGGATATTTAAAATGTTCGCGTGCGAATCGCGCGTGGGGACGCCGAAAAACGTGATACATGCTTCGTTGATCATCGGGATTAATACAGACAGAAATTGACGCGTAGAGCACGCAAAAAATAGTGGACATCGCGAGAATAGGAACTAGGAATTGTTGAGGACATGTACACGATTATTATAATAAATTCCTTTTTGGCGTCGTTTTGGTATTTAGTATTTGATGGACGATTCAGTTGGTGTTACTTGGAAAATATATTAGGACAAGATCAAAGTATGGCTAAGAGAAGTCTGAGATTCGTCACTCCAAAATGAAGCATTATTGGTAGTAATATTAATATTATTGGTAACAGCTGTATAGTGTATTGGATAATATTCTCTTTTTCATAACGTACTCTTTTTAGTATGAGAATACTGTACAGTATCGAGCTCTTCGCGGATTCTTCATTTCCCAAAACCATGTGTCGTTTCTGGTGGTTATAAAATTTTGGAAAATTGTTTTGGTACCACGATTATCGGAAGCAAGATGTCATGTGACACGTCTTCGATCATGCACTCGTTCCCCGAAGGTGCAGTCACGTTTTACATAATGTTCGATGGTAACGTTGCGATACGCGACAATGCGTATCGAAAACTATTTACAGGAGAAATAAACGGCAATCGAAGTCAACATTTAGGTCGTTAAAAGGACTGATAAAACGAGGACAGTTTTGCTGAACATTTAAACCTTATCACGGTCAAACTAGCGCGTTGCGGTCCGGAAATAATCAAACGTTTGATGATTCTATAAAATATATTTAGTCGTTTTACCCTCCGACAATCGCGCGAAGCGTGGTGATTAGAAGAACAGATGAAATATATTTGATTCGGTTTGAAATAAAATGTTTTATGTATTATAATGTTATGTGACAATAGTGTGAGCTTATTAACGAAACGATTTAACAAATATTTGGCTAAGAGATTCTTTCAATTATTTTTAACAGTACATTTATATATTTAATATTTCCTCCTTGTTAAAAAAATATTGTTTCCAAACGAGATATAATCCTCCAAATTTAAAAAAAGATAGTCATGTTTTAAAAATAGAATTTCCTGCCGAACGTTAAAAAATAATAATATAAAAACCAATTAAATAAGAATAACGTTTTTAGGCCTGCTAAAAACAAAACAATATTTCCTCAACATAGAAAATTGAAGACTAGACGAAAAATAGGGTGACGCGTGCCTAACTGATTTACATGGCAGTTCGACTATCAAAATGTTTTCTTTCTTCTTTTTGTTTAATCGTTGAATTATTGCATTATCGAGCGTAAAACAGTGTTGAGAAAAACAAGTTGCGTGCAGCTACGTGGCCAAACTACGGACCGAGTTCGCAAAAGTTGGAACGATGAAACTTCGACGACACGTTTATCGATTAAACATGTTCTTTGCCACAGGCATGCGCTTTCTCACCGAGAATATAGTAATTTCGATCAATGATCGAAACTCTGATTCCCCTTTTTATAATCCTACCGTGGTAATACATTTTCCCGTGTTATTTCCTCTTTTTTATGAAATTACAATAAATACAGCAGATTGCATCGATTTGCGTGGGAGTTTCAGTAATATCACAAGTCGTGTATAATCTCTTCGAAAAGGGGAATAAAATGACTGGACTTTCGACTGATTATCAACTGTTTCTACGTTCATTTTGCATTCAATTATCCTCGAATCAGAGGCATGCACATGTAGAGAGGAAACGCGATTCTGCTCTTCCGTGAGCCGGCGATATCCTCGTGTCGCGTGCTCATTGGTTATTTTAATTAACCGGTGTAATTTTCCACTACGTTTCGCGAGTTCGCGAGTGCAGAGAGGACGTCCGATACGAACGACGAAATTCTACGTGCAACGGAAGAGCATAATCTGGCGCCAAGCTTTGATAGATCCTTCTCGCGTTTTACGATTGCCGATAAATTTCAGATACAAGAATTTATCGGTCCACTGTTAATCTCGAATCTGTGCGGCACCCGCGCGCGTATGTACGTATCGGTTGATTAAACGAAAACCATCGGCGGCGAATACGCGATTAAATCGAGCCGAGTAATTGGATCTGGCCGAAGAAACGTATTCAACCCTGGTTCGCGCGCTTCCCTTCGAACTTCTGAAAAGATTGCTCTCGCCACTTTCGGAGTCAATTAATTCCTCTCGTCGCCGTTCCTTTGTTTCTCGTCGAGTTCCCTTCGTTCCTTCGGTCGGCCAGCGCAGTGCAAGCCGCTGCGGCGGGCAACTGTGAAACTCAAACAGCCTTCTTCGACTAATCGCGCTTACTACGTACTCTCGTTCATGCTTGACCGCGATTTTCAATTCGACTCGGTAAGTACCTATTACGTGGTCTGCCGAGCCTTATAATAAGCTACGTGGTGTATTTTTTATAGACTTCGCCCGGTTTCCCGATTCGTTTGTTCCACGCGAGGTTTCGCGTCTCACGTCGACGAAACGCCAATTTGTAAATAACGAAAATCAACGTTAACGACGCGTGCACGTTTGCGAAATCGATAATCGTTCGGTTGTAAAATAATACATCGTCGCATCGGGATCAGTGATATTCGTATCGAATGCATCGGGTAAACGTTTAGGTATATGCGATAAAATATGAGAAACAGTTTACCTTCACGAAACCTAAGCTAAATTTCACGTAATGAACGGGACACAGGATTCGCGTTAGAAACGCCATTAAATTTCTGTGGGGATTTGTAAAAAAAGGATTCGCTCGCGAAGCGGATTCGGCGATAAACGGAAAAGCAAAGATGAAGCCCGATTCTCTGCTATTATTTTTGTTGTTTTTGTTGTTGTTGTTATTGTTGTTATTGTTGACCGACCCATTTATTAGTTTATTTTTTTTTCTGCTTTTTCATCCCTCTTATTTCTTGGGCTCCTCCGGCTGGCCGACGACGTTCACTTCCTGACGGACCTTATGACCCCGGAAGCTCGCCTGGATCTTCGTCGCCGCCTTATGTAGATCGGGATCCGACAAATCGATACCCTCAAGCTCGTTCTCGGCCTCCTTCGCCTGAAACAATCAATCGCAACGTCCAAATGTAGATTTTGATAAACATAAACTATAATTATTAACGAGTGTTCGCCTATGACAAAATGTCAAAGTAATCTCGGTGTTCTCTCAATTAATTAAATTCGCTAAATTATTTAGTCTATACGTCAAATGCAAACTTTGCCCAACTTCAAAGCGCGGATTTGTGTTCGTAAACAACAGCAGAATGTTTGCCCGTAACGTAACGTGTCGTTTTGTTAATCTCTGCTAACACCGGCAGCCAATTTAGTTCAACGTGTTTGCGCAGTATTTTCCACGGTACTTTTTCCAATTTATGTATGCAAATTAATAGGACAACGTTTTTTTTTTTTCGGATATAATAATTATAAATTCGAAGCGAGGGATTAAAATGAGTAAGTCTGACCTATTGTACGTTCGTACTACTGCAGTTGTATCGCAAGCTGTGCTACTGTCTGTCAGAGGAAACCAGGCGTGAAAAGAACGTTGTTTCCTCGTTTGCCCCTCTCGTTACGGCCTATTTCTCGCGATTCCACGCGCAATTATTGTCGCATCGGCTAAATTTAGGCTTAATTATAACGAAACCCGAGTGGCCCTGACGTCACGAGGCGGCGCGGCGCGAGGTATGTATGACAAGGGCTCGTAGCCGAGTCTCGAAACAGCCACGGGGTGCCGGCGGGGGGGAGGAGAAAAAAAGGTGACGCGCCACATGCAAAAGAGGTTTATAAACATGTAGATTGCAATTACGCGCGAACGTATTTGCATTCGACCCTTGGGCAGCCTTTCCTTCAGCTTCGACCCGCTGCCGCGCAGTTAAACCATCCTCCTTCGTCTCTCGCGCTCACACACGAGCCGTTCGTGCCGAGGAGGCTTTTCGTGTCATCCGTGCTTTTGATTTCGACCCGGCCGCGGAAAGAGCCAGCTATGTGGACCTTCGTGTCCGAGTATTATTCGTCAACCAGTCAGGATCGCGAGCCAGCTTGATAGTTCGACGGTGGATGGTATAAAGAGGCTCGACCAGCGGATGAAACCTTAGCTGATAACGGGGTTAATTACGCCCGATGTATCATAGCAGAGCTTCATTTTTAATTCCACCCTCGCGTTTCACTCGGTAATTTCGTCGGCGATTATCCGCAGATTTTATTCACTCGTTCGCGTCGAGGCAGCCAAGCATGAATATTTACGCTAATCTTAGATGAAAATGTGGATGCGTTTTCGCTGAGTCCAAATCTGTGACAGTAGATTAATTGCGACAGGATTGAAAATTTTGCGAGATATAAATAACTTCTTCATCTAATATTGAAGGTTCAAAATTCCATATGATAATTTCTCGACTATCAGTCATGAGATACTTGAATATCTAAAATTATGTCAGAGAGCAGTTGAAGCACTGCTTAATACGACTTCCGAGAGAGAGTTTTTTAAGTGACTCGAGGACGCAACGCGTCGATGCTCAGGCCAGGTAAAGCAGGGTAAGAATTATGATATCGTTGCGCAACGGAAGGGTGGCGGAAGCTGGATTTAAAGTTTAAAGTCTCTCCTAGAAGGTTTCGAGCCTCCAACTGTACGTAGCAAGAACCGTTACTTAGGATCACGTTTCGCATTCGTACAGCTTGAAAACTATGTTTAATGGACCAACGTCCCTTCCAACTGGGCCTCAACATTTCTCAACATTTAATTAATTTATGAGTTTACAACATCCACTAATTGTTATAATCTCAACGCTTTGTCATTGTTTTTGTGTAAGGATTCATACAACCTTAAACGTTGCTACTGTTTTTGTAAATGCATAAAAATTCGCAGCCAATTTTCTAGAAAGCAATTAATTACCTCCGACGTATCATGAGTCGAACGAGTTTAATAATTTTCTATCAGGCGATGCCAGAACTTTGTTCCTGGCTGTCTTACTTCGGCACGACTCTTTGATTACCAATTAGGCAGAAGTTTAACTCTTCCGCGTAATAAGTCAACCAGCGACCGTCGACAGGCTGCGGAATTGGATTCGTTGAAACTCGAACCCCATCGGTTTTAAAGTAAATTAAAAGGGATTAACTTTCCCACTGTGCTCGCCACAAACGGACCTCCGAGATTTCCGTCACGACTCTCTCAAACGATCGGACGGAGAAAGTTTTGTTCTTCGGTTAAGGGGACATTCAACCTTTTAAATACCCCTGGTTAGGTAACAGCTTTGTGAAACGATGGTCCAGCAAGTTTTGTAAATTTTTATTTCATAAACATTTATTTAATTCGTTTCCAAAACTCAATAGATAATTTAGAAAATTGTTAATTGATAGAACGTTTTATTTTCATTTTCTTAAGAGTAATTTTCGTATTTTCTAATTATACACTTCTTAGAGTTTTAATTATGGTTCTGAGAAAAATAAATTGATTTCCATGCAATTAAAGTTTGAAATAGAGTTTGTGGAAACGATTCATTCCCAGTGGCCATAAAGGAGATTCATTTGCTGGTAAAAAAAAAATTATTTCGCGTACCCTGGGAAATTTAACTTTACAGTCTCTATTCATCGTTTTATCACTTCAATAAAGATTTCAGTGAACGTTCGGCTAAGCGTTAAATACGCATTATGTAAAAATTTATGTTAGAATGTATAGAATTTATGTTAAAATGTTTTTTAGGGTACACTTCGCAACATGACCTGCTTAATTATTTGAAAGCGTCTCAAGCGTGTGTTCTCCAGAATCTGATTGACAATTTTTAATCTGAAATATTACCCTTCAGCAAGTTCAACGTTCAAAGAAGGTTTAATTCCAGCATCTGGCGCGTTGAAATCATTTATCTTGATCGTTGGTGGCCGTTTCGTTTTTCAGAATTTCAGAAAATGCCTGCGAACGGGTCGAGTGTTATCGCGCAACCGTCGCGGTGCGAGCACAAAAGAGATTTTTGCCGAAAGCTGCTCTCTGATTTTTTCGACCCGTCAGCTGTGTCATCTCTTTGAATTTCGGGCCGAGTGCTGGCATGTTTAGTTGTACGCATGCACTCCAGTTCAACGAAAATAAAAAGTCGCTCGACGCTCTAACTTTTCCCGATAAATCTGTTCGTCTTATCCCATTTTACACGTAAACGATCATCAATTCCTTTTTTTTTTGGTGCAACCAGAAATTAGGGGATTGTCCAGATATTAGAAGCTTTGACCTTTATTGCTTCTCATTATTTAATCGTAGACAAATGTAACCATGTTACGTCATGAATTCAGTAAAAAAATAATATAAACTGATGGGGAGATTTTTATTTTAGTTTTTCCACAGCTGCCATAGTCGATTTCCACTGGTACAATACACGACGTAGGAATTTCTAATAAAATGTTCAGGAATAAGAACACGATAGCCCGTGACGCTCTCTTTTCGTTATTGCCAATCTCTTCTAAACGACTGTCAAAATAAAAAGCATCTCGTGCCTGACGACAATCATTGCGCGAAGAGATGCCCTATTTATAGAAATTCAATAAACTAATTTTAAATGCGATAGGAACTTATATCATCTTCCTTTAACTAACGAACCCTTTCGCCTGATAACTTTTATAATCACATTAAAACTACTAGGGCAAGTCTTCACATGATTTGAAAGTTTTCAGAAATTTTAATGAAGTTTGAAGTAATTCATTAAAACTGCTAATACTATGTTATAAAACAATCTAATATTCTGCGAATATACTAACATCCAGTCTTTGAACGTTGCATAAAGAGAAACGAGATGCTCATAAAAAATTGACTTCCCACAGGAGCATTCATGTCCTCCACAAAGGAGCAGCCCTCTCAATATCTGATTCTTTCTATAATGGAACCACAACTTTGCCAATCGCATTCGCAGAGTCGATAGATAACTCACAGTCAACGGACTATGAGTATAATGCCGGTGGAACAGTTTCTTTGATGCAGACTTGATAGAACATACGGCGAATCTCCGTGGTCACGGGATTGTAAATTATGTGCTTTTAGAAAATGCATCAACCCCTCCGGATAATTATTGTTACCACTGTCCCCGCGTATGTTGTATTTGCGCTGTGAACTTCCGCGGGGATGCAAACGAACCAGTTCTGGGGTTGCATTTGCATTCGAGCGCGTGCTCACAAAAGAAACTTGCTTTATGGGCCTTTAGGGGTTGATACGTTCATTTATTTAGACACGCAGTTATAATGTCGCGTGGTTACAACGATGTAACATGCGTGTTTGAACGCGGTTTGACTAGTTAGACAAGGATTTGTTAGAAACAGTAGCTGCAGGCTGTACATTTTATTATCTACTGACAAAATCCCGGATTTTTATGCAAAAGATATGTTTTTTAACTTTTTATCTTTTGCAGATAAAATATTTCTATCAACGCGTAAAACTCACGGTTTGTCCTCGAGTGGGAATTAATTTTATTTATAAAACGTTTTACTTTCTTCTCTTACTGATTTGATATTAATTAAACACTGAATCCATTCAGTTTTTCCTCTAGTTTAAAATTCATTAAACTAATTGAAACCAAGAAAAACGGCGTAAAAAGAGAAAAATTATATTCAACGGCGAGGCAAAGTTTTTCCGCGGAATTATGTTCCACGCGATACGCGCAAAGGAAAAAGATGCCGGAATTTAATTCTCTGACAACGTGGAAAAGAAGAGCGTATCTAAACGCTCTTACGTCGTACAGAGCGCAATAATTTTTTTTCTACTCTTCACACGGATTGGCTTCCACGTCTCGCGTCGGAGTTAATCCAATTTGTCGAAAGGGTCGTTGCCGAAACGTCTGCGATCCCTTAAAGCAAACAACGCATGGCCACCTCGGACAGTGATGGAAATAAATAAAAAAAATAGATGAGAAAGCGTCAAAGGACGAGGGAAGAGTTTATTATGGTTGTAATTAATAATTAAGCAAACTAGAAAATAAATGAAGGTACGAGATTGGATTTGTTGTCATTTATTTTCTAAACTCTGTCTTAATTAGCCTAACGATGGAATCAGCTTTTGTTGTTAGCATAAATGAATTGCTTACGAGTTTAGAA